CAAAGAAATTTGACGTTTGGTGTTTCCTCGATTAAGAGGAACAAATCATCAAAACTTCAATTTCAATACTCCAGCAGAGGTTTCAGAGACAACTGTTATACTATTAGGCATGTTGTCCTTATGCAAAAATATTTTATGATGAAAAATGGAACCAGTGGGAGATGTTTCGTTCAATTTTTTGACAGATGAAATTCATGAAAACATTTATGATAAGGTAATATTGAGCGAAATAATTCATAAAATTAAGAATGAACACACTTTTTATTTTATTTTTATTTTGATTTTGATTTGATACCAAAATAAGATTTCATATAGAAAATGATTCTAAAAAATGATTCTAAGGAGTACAGTGACGACAAGTTAATCTGCAAACTCTTCTCATTACAACGGCATAGTCGCCTATATTGCAATACCGTGCATTTGCTTGACATTGAGGATGTAAATCGGTGCAAGTTGACGACGAAGTTGCATTACCTGCAGTGCAAAAGATTTTGGTTAGATTCTTGAATATTTGCCTAAATACAAGAAATAAATTTAATTAATTGCTATTATCCGAAAATATTGTTTTGTCCATCTATGGCTATAATAGAAAGGTTATTCGCTACAAAAAATGTATCTTGTGATGCGAAATTCGGAAGGTAACCTGGTAGGCAGTCCCTTAGTCCGCACGTTTTCTTACAAGATCTCTTCATGAAGTCTGTACTGCAACTAGGGTCCAAAGCGAATAGAGCCCTACAGTTTTCGTTTTCATCTGGACACATTCCGCCAGCACCCGGTCTATTACAAAGACCACATGTAAATGGGCATATCGATAAAGCGATACTAGGTGAAGTTGTACAAATATTTCGACCCAACTTTTGGCATGCATCTGCATTAACTGAAAGGAAACAATTCGAACTTCCATGATTTACTACTTTTTGGAGTTGAAATAAGAAAAAACTACTGACCATCGTTACAATTATATTCCTTCGTTTTACAACACATCGCACACGTATTCGGACACGTTTTTGCTGCGAAATCTTTTATCGTATTACATAGTTGAGGAATTTTATAATCATTCGCTCTATAAAAAGTTTTTATATATTAAATGTAGTTATTTTCTCTTGAAAAAACGGCCATGAAAAATTGCAATTGACCTTTTTTTTTCAAGTAGTACTTATTTATTTATTTATTGAATATTGGAATGGTGTTCCTCTCCCGCAGAACTATGGCTTCACTATGGCTTCAAGTGGAACTAACCAAGCATATCTTCAGTTAAGATATTATCCCAGTTAAGAGTTGACTTGCCGAAGCAATATGTGATTCTTTTCTCTTATCTCGTCATATTTTTGCAACATCTTTGAAAAAAAAAATATATTTATTGAAGCAAATTATTATTATTGAAGCAATCTTAATCATTAAGAAGTATTTGGTATGTAATGGCTAAAAAATGCATACACATTGAAATTGTTTGCTAGATCTTGAAGATTATTATTATCATAAACAAATATCGATGGACAAACGGGATCCTCTGGACATGAATCCACAGTTGGTCGTTTCTTAAGATTTTGAGCATTTCCAACAAGTTTAACACATTCTTCTATATCTGCATTGCCCGCAAAGGTGAAAGGCAAAAAGAAAAACGATAGAATAGCAACCAACATAACTTTGGATTCTGGTTGACTAGCGCGCATAAACGCTTGTATTATATATTCATTTATTTATTGGTTTTTTAATAAAAGGTGATAAACGCCTACACCTAAAATTTAAAGGAAGAACAATAACGAAAGCTGAAAAAACAACTGATATTAAATTTCATACCAAAAGCTTTCCATATCGCTGACCGAGTTGGATCACTTCTAATGTGAATGGTTTTTTGATCTACAATTTTTCTTCTAAGAAATAATTAAAATTCATACTGATTTTAATTAAATGTGATAAGATTTGTCGAAATTCTCTATAAGCCTAAGTCATCATTTTCTATTGTTACAATCCAATTGTAGCCTTTTTTGCATTTTGTGACAATATTACAAGTAAAAAATTATTCACCACTCAATATTTACCTTTGAAATTTCTTTTTAAACGTTTGAATTTCTTATTTCTTTCCGTTAAATTTTCTTAAAATGTGTTTTATCATTTTTGATAATACATTAAAGCAAATTATTTGATAATTTTTTATAGCATAAATATGAGAAACTAAATATTTCACGAAATAATAATTCAAAATAATCACGGAATACCTTCTTGAAGTCAACACTAATTTTGTCCAAAATACCAAACATGCCAATATATTATTCGTCAATAAGGGAAACCTGTTAAATCTGCTCGGTTCTAAAAATATGCCAACAGTAAGTATGGACAACAGATAACAGTTGTGATAGCGCTTGTGAAGCATTTAATTATAGCAATTATAATTATAATTATTATTGTTATAATTATAATTATAATTATATAATTATAATTATAACAAAATGACGAATGAGGAAAATATCAAAGAAAATATCAAATATCAAAGAATCAGTTCACTGAAGAGCAAAAAATTGTCAAGTTCATTGCATAAAATTGCTATATAGCTAGGATATTCATGATTTAAAAACTTGTCATTGCACTAATCGAGTGACAGTGCTATTTATTAGGTTGGGCGCCTATAGATAGTTCTATTTGCCAATTCCTCTCTGGCAAAGCAGTCCATTCCAGCATTGAAGCTAGACAAACTGGAAATTTAGCGATATTATGAGGCAAGAAGAAGAATTATTTATCAAATATCATATTTCTCGATACGTAGAACGAATATGCATGCCCTTTCATCGATTTTTCTTTGCCCACTTTTTAGATTAATACAGTAGACCAATGGTTCTTCAGTGGTTCTCAAACTTTTCACTATGGGAATCCCTACAAATTAATAAAAATTATTGAAGTTATATCTTAAATCAAATAAATTCTATACGAATATATTTTCGATATTTTTTGCTCAATTTAAATTTTTTAATTTTTAAAATTTGATATTTTGAAATGAAATTTATCGAAATTTCCGAACTATATTTATGCATGTCATTTTTTTTTAAATTGCTGTTATGTGTAAATATAAAATACAAAAAAAAATGCGGTGTAAAACTTATATTTTATATATATATATATTAATTTATGCTTTTTTTCCATGATTTTTCTTTCCCATTATTCTAACGTTTTCTTTTAGTTTTTTGATAGTGGATGGAATTCATGATAGCGTTCGTGATAAGTTGATAATAAACTGAATAATTTCTCCAATTTTGTAAAAATTCGATATTTTACTCTATTGCCAATTCATATCGTTTATTGCTAGACAGTTTATGCTTTCGCTTAAAATTGCTATTTCTCGACTTATCTTCTGTTCTTGTATATTGTTATTCTTTTTTTTTAAGAATTTTAAGAATTTTACATAAAATAGAAATTCCTTCTAAAAAAAGATACTACCTTTATCTGCTTTTTTATCTTTAATCTACCTTTAATCTGCCTTTATTTTACATTTTCAACCTTCTTTCAACTTTCTGGTGAATGAATTTCTATCAGTTCTAATAAAGATATTACACTTTTCAAAAAACTGATGCATTCTACTGTTTCTTAGATTAAAGTCACTATAACTGTAATTTAAATTCTTCAGAGGAACTCTGATTTTGGAGAGCACTTATACCTTTACGCAACTTATCCTTACATATATATTTCTATTCGATACTCAATAGAGTTTTCGAATCAATGATTTGTTTGACAGATACAGATATTAGAGCTTTGGTTTCTAAAGAAATTCATGATAAAAATTGGAACCAATGGTGGATGTTTAAGCTTTTGCACAAATATGAATAAAACATTTTTTTATTTCGATAATAAAACAAGAACTTAATGAAATAGAATTGCAAAAAAAACAATTCTAAGGAGTACAGTGACGACAAGTTAATCTGCAAACTCTTCTCATTACAACGGCATAGTCGCCGATATTGCAATACCGGGCATTTTCTCGACATTGAGGGTGTAAATCGGTGCAAGTTGACGACGAAGTTGCATTACCTGCAGTGCAAAAGATTTTGGTTAGATTCTTGAATATTTGCCTAAATACAAGAAATAAATTAAATTAATTGCTATTATCCGAAAATATTGTTTTGTCCATCTATGGCTATAATAGAAAGGTTATTCGCTACAAAAAATGTATCTTGTGATGCGAAATTCGGAAGGTAACCTGGTAGGCAGTCCCTTAGTCCACAAGTTTTTTTGCAAGACCTCTTCATGAAGTCTGTACTGCAACTAGGGTCCAAAGCGAATAGAGCCCTACAGTTTTCATTTTCATCTGGACACATTCCGCCAGCACCCGGTCTATTACAAAGACCACATGTAAATGGGCATATCGATAAAGCGATACTAGGTGAAGTTGTACAAATATTTCGACCCAACTTTTGGCATGCATCGGCATTAACTGAAAGGAAACAAATCAAACTTCTATGATTCGATCCTCTTTGTACTAAATATTGATAGAGAACAAACTGACCATCGTTACAGTTATATTCTTTTGTTTTACAACACATCGCACACGTATTCGGACACGTTTTTGCTGCGAAATCTTTTATCGT